AAAATGAGACGTCTTTGTTGACCATTTATGATTTATCCCTTCCCAAACTGGGAACCCAAATAATGTAGAAGAAATTACACCAAGACTTCAGAACATTCTCACTTTTACAGGTTTCAGGTTGATACAATAATAAAAATCATTAAGACAGCTGAGAAAATTAAGAAGAAAACCAAACAGTGGCTGCAGTTTCTTTGACAAATCCTCTATTAGTGCAAGGTTTTTGAGCAACTGCTCCACCTTTGGCAGCTATACCCTCTTGGGCGAAATTCTTTGTTTTAGTTGCAGTCTGAGGAGGACCAGATTTCCATTTGGTTTCACATCACATCCCATTAACGAACCTTTTGTTTAATTTCTCTTCGCCGTGTTCCCCTGCCCGCCTAATGAATGTATGGAAACGACCGGCCCGACCCGTCACCGGCTACGATGTACTGCTGCTGATCTCACGGCTCTGGTTGTTCGGTTCATCACATTCACAACAAGCAGCAGCAGCGGCGGCGATGCACCGGGTAGATAATAACTTCCCTCCTCTTCCTCCGGCCCGCCCTGCCTCTCGTGACATTCTCCGTGGATGTAAACCATCTTGTTAAGGTCCCTGGAGATGCTGTCATCTGTGATGTGTGTATGTACTGCCGCCGCTGTTGACACAGCACTATGCGGAGGTCGGCCGAGTCACGGCTCGTAGGGGACGGACAGGGGACGAGCACACGCCTCCACACAAATTAGTGGCATCGTCCTGACCTCACGCAAAGCAGGGAGGTGAAGGGAGGAAAGATGGGAGGAGAAGATGACAAATGGATCAATGAGGAGAGGAGAGGAGAGGAGGGTAAGAACCAGGAAGTAAAAAGGATAAAGGGGATATAAGAGGAGAAAGGGGGAGCTGGAGGATGGTTGGGAGAAAGAAAAATGGTTGCTGCTAAATTAAAAATCCAAACAACATCCAGATCCTTGAGAAGAAACAATTAGCGAAGTCTGGCTCTGTGTTTGATTCAGCCCAGCTGGTTTTATCCCAGATAGCATCGTGTTTACCAAAACCTATCGACCGGTGCTCGTTCTGCAAACCTTCTGTCTTACAGTGAACGACAGATTAACTACATCACACATGCATTGATTACAGTTTGTCCCTCATTTTGCTCAGACGATATGAAGCACAGCGCGACTGTCAATGACAAGGCCACATGTGAAATAAAAGCAGGATCAGGCGTCTCTCTTGTCTCTCACCTGTTTCCCTCTCCTCTAAACTCAGTGACAGCACCTCCTTAAAAGCCGTCCTTCCCTGTGCTTTGAACGTGACGTGCTCCGCCACCTCCGTCGGCAACAACACCTCCACGACCTTCAGAAACCCGGCATCCGATTGATTG